TATATAGTGGTACATTGTGGTGTTTTGGGAATTAAATAAAGATTTATTATTATTATAACTAATTCATTTACTCATAATAGTCTTTTAATTATTTTGTTTTCTTCATTATTTTATGTTATTGCGTTAACTTGTTATTGTGGCACTTAAACTATGTTAAAAAGCTGTTTTTTTTTTAATTTATGCTAATGTAATGTTTCTTAACTTATTTTACAGCGTCTCCGAATTTCTTTAGCTCATTCCCAGGACTGGCTGGCACTTCCTCAGGTTCAGGTCTTTCACGCAGCTTAGTCGATTCACCTCACAGTGGAACAGTCTCTCCCCATATCACTCCACAGCCCTCCCCACCACCTCATGCAATCACAAATTGCTCACCAATTCCCCAGGTTGTTTTAGAGAAGCCTTCAGTTGTAGCTGCATATCAGGTTAGCCAATAAAATTAACTGTAATTGTACTTTTGTTTGTATTGTAAAAAAGGTAAAAAGCTCTTATCTTCAAAATTTGGAAACTTTTATAGGGAAAATATGCTATTTTTCCTATGAAAAAATTGCAACAACTTGTAATTATTGTCCTTATTCATTTTCTGTTTTTATATAGGAAAATGTAGGTGGCACTACGTATTTTTATCCGACATCTGCAGATAATTCTGTGACGCCAAACGATACATTGAACTCGGTTGGGGTGGTTACTAGTATCGCTTCCGGTTACCAGGTGTATCCCGGCACCCCTAGTCACGTAGCTGCACTCAAGGGCCGTGGAGGCAACTCATCCTACTTTGTTTCAGACGATATAAGACTCGACATCCTCAACCGCAATGCTCTCACGCTCATGCAACCCGATCCTGAACAATTTCCAGGTATTCTAAACATTAATTTGCCACTTTGATTCTCTTTTTTTATTGTTTTTCTTTCAGATCTTCCTCCAGAAGTGGATAATTACCATGAATTGTGCCCCATCGAACCCATTCCATCGAATCCCCTCCATAAAGCTCACTTAGGTTACCAAGCGTCAATGTACAAAGCCACCCATGTAAAGACTGGCACCAGATATTGTTTAAGAAGAATACACGGTAATAAAGTTATAGTTTGTGATTTTACTGGATCTTTATAGATCTGATGTTGACGAGCAAAAACAAAAAATCAATTCATTTGCAATCTGTAGATGTGGAAGTGCATTTTCAGGTTTCCGTCTTCAAAACACGAAATGTATGGCTTATGTGGACCTATGGAAGAAACTCATCCATTCCAACATTGTACAACTAAAGGAGGTTTTTACCACCAAATCCTTCGGAGATAATTGTAAGGAATTCTTCACAATATGTTCATATAAATACATATATTAATTTTTTTTTTCACAGCATTAGTTTTCGTTTACGACTATCATCCAGGGTCGGAAACGTTGCTGTCGAAGCATTTTTCTCCGGATCAACTGAACGGATATACAGACCCCTTTGCGACCGATCCTGCAGCTCCAAGACCTTACAGTCACCAGAAGAACAATATTCTTCGCTACCAACAGACTAACAAACTCCCTGAGCCTCTTATATGGAATTATATCATCCAGTTAACATCAGCACTCAGAATTATCCATGCGGCAGGTATATTTTTTATTTATTAATTAATCTACTATTATTATTAGAACTTATTGATTTCCCTGTTGCAGGTTTAGCTTGCCGTAGCCTGGATCCTACAAAAATTATCCTAACATCAGGCAAGCGTTTAAGATTAAGCTGTTTGGGGGTGATGGATGTAATTATGAATGACACAAGTACAACGAGCAACCCCATTGCCCTGGTACAACACTATCAGCAGGAAGACTTGACAGCTCTTGGAAAACTTGTGCTTGCCCTTGCTTGCAAGTCTACGATGGCGGTTCAACGTGAGAATATATCAACAGCTTTGGAAGTCGTATCCAGAACGTACACGCCTGATCTACGTAATCTAATCATGTAAATAACATAAATGTTATTAATAAATTAGATTTAATGTTTATCAGTAAAGTCAGTCGTTATTTATATTTAATTAATAGGCGTTCAAAACTTTTTTTTTTCTTTTTGTTTAAGGTACCTTTTGTCAACGCAACAAAGAAGAAGTGTAACCGATTTAATGCCGATGATCGGGGCCCGTTTCTATACCCAATTGGACAACGTCCAGTCACGCACAGACATCCTGGAGAACGAGGTTGCTAAGGAGATGGAAAACGGTCGTCTCTTCAGGCTCATGGTTAAACTGGGAACTATTAACGAACGACCAGAGTATGTACTCGATTTTTCTTCAAACTTTGCAGTTTCCTAATTTTTTTTATTTTATATTGCAGGTTTAATTTAGATGGAACGTGGTCGGAGACGGGAGACAGGTACATGTTAAAATTATTTAGGGACTACGTATTTCACCAGGTCACTGAGGATGGTCGTCCATGGCTGGATATGGCTCATGTTGTACAATGTTTAAACAAATTGGATACAGGTGTACCTGAAAAGGTAAGTTTTTGTGCACAGATACTCCTCTGCCTATTTAAATGAATAATTTTTGCCACTTGCATAACTATCATCACTGCAAGCTACAGACTCGAAATTGTGAATAAATTAATAATTAAAATTTGCAACCCCACACCCTTGTAGAAAATATAACTTCCGATTTCTTTTTCGTGTGAATTATATGTTTCTTCCAGGTTTGCCTAATGAGTAGAGATGAGCAAAGTATTTTGGTTGTGAGTTATGCAGAGTTAAAACACTGTCTCGAGCAGTCGTTTGGAGAAATACTTAACGCGTCGATGGCGTCCCAGAACGTCACATAATGATAATAATACTGATAAAAGTAGTTGTCGTCTTTCAAAAAAAAAAGATAAAAATTAAAAAAAATCAACAGAAACGAGAAGGGGGAAATGATTTGGATCAGTTAAAGAATCAGGATAATTAAGAAAGAAATTGTACAAAAACAGGAACGAAACAAGTCGTTGTTGTGTAGTAATTTTATTATTGGTGCATATAATTATCTATTGTTATTATTATTAATTATTGCTATGCGGATGTACAATCTATTTTTAAATAGCATCCTTTTAAACGTTGTTATGAAAGATGGTATTTTTAAGGGGCTTACAAATATATAATTTTTGTATATTAGGTTTCTCATTAAGAATTGCACTTTTTTGCCTAGATATGGACAAATTTTGAATAAAATGTTAAAAGTCTTCGATGGAGATTTCGTTGTACTATATTTAACTTCCATTTCTGTGATAGTGTGTAATTTTCTTTTAAAGGTTGAATTTAATTGTTTATTGTAAAATAATGCGAGTATAAAATTACCACAAAGTCAATAAAGGTAAATTAAATATAAAAAATTTTCGGGATAACTTTTGTTAAGTTCAATAGGAAAATGTTTCATCTTTTAGTAAAATTTTAATTACATAATAACATAGGGCATTTAAACGGTTTATTGATATAAAAGAATGCATTACTGATGTAATTTTTGTTTCTGTATATTTTTGTGTCTGAAGTGAGTCCCTTAGAGGTGACTTAATTTCACTCATCCGATCATTTCCTCCTTTCTACGTTAACGAATTAATTTAATGAATAATTGTAACGTTGCAGCTCTTTAGGATATAATAATAATAAAAGAAAAAAATGAACGATTTATTTTTAAGCGATAGTTTTGTTAAATTGTAATGTTTAACTCTGGGGAGAACTGCAACGTGTCTATGAAAACAAGCAAGAATTAATAATTCTGTACATTGTATGTAATTGTGATTTGTGAGATTAAAAAGGTCTTTCCTGGAACGACACACACAGACTTCCGGTCGTATGTACAATATAAATCTTTCGGGTAAAAGAAAAAACTTAATTTTTCGAACGTGTTCTCTGCTTCATTTATTTTTGGAGCGCATTTTCATTTCCAAGCCGCCAAGTACTTTTTTATTCTTGTATTGTGTATATTGAAGTATTAATATATAAATTATTTTTCAATAAAAATTGAAAAGTTACGAACTTATATTAATCCTTAATCTATTAATTTTCATAAAAACCTCTACAGAGATGAAGGTGTATCTAAAAGAGTGCAAGTAAGTGTTATTTAAATCTATTTTTTATTGGACCTCATTCATATCTGCAACGTTAAACGTTTATTAAAATAACTTGTGCTGTTAACTGTTTATTAAGTAATATTTTCAACTATAAGCATATTAGGTAACTACAAAAGGACCGTACAAGATGATGAATTTGTAACATTAGAAAACTCTTGTGCAAAATTGTTTTATACACAATTACAACTTTTGTCGCTCTCTTAAATTCGTTTAGATGTTTGTTTTCAAATTGTTTAGGGGCTTCTTTTCAAATCAATCAGGTGCCAAAAATGGTCTGCTGCCTTGTGTACTAACATCTAAAAAAATATAGATTTTAAATAGAATTTATAGTAAGAAATTACACTTTCAACCACAAACCCTCTGTTATAATTGCAGATAAATCGCCATTTTGAGAGTCTTTTCTCTTACAATGTAATTAACAAGTCCTACTACGTAAATGTGCTTATTTACTTATTCTGTATGTAACTTGGACCTGTTTTAAAGCCTTTGCAATACTCTCTACATATCAATTTGTCTACACTGATAGTACTTTTTTGTGCTTCATAAGGCTTGTTATATTACCAACATTTTGCACTGAAAATGTTTTAACATACTAAATAGTTACGGATAAATAAAATTAAACTAACTGTTGAAAGCATTACAGAAATTAAATAATTAATTACTACTTACTGTAAGAAGTTATTGACGCCTCTTTAATGTAATCATAGGATGGTATTTGTGGTATTTGTTGAATATAAAAGTAGAATAAACATGTAAATTACTGTAACTTGGTAACATTGACGTAAACAAATGCTTTTTAACAGGTGCGATGTAAACTCTTCACAAATGCTACAACAAAATACAAACGCAGCACTTATTATCACTTTAGTGAAATATTTGTGTATTATAATGTAAAGCATTCATTTGTAACATTGAAAAGACCAGTACGTTACCTTCAGTGGTCATATAAAAGTAACACTTTTACATGTTAGTGTACCATTTTCACACTTCAGATCTATGCTGTAAGATCGAAAGTACATAAAAAGAAGATGCTATTTTAACTGATTAACTTGATTGAAAGACTAATCCACCTGGGCAGATCTCAAGACCACTAAATGTATTTTACAGCCACATTCTTTTTAAACACCTTTAGCGCCCCAGTAGGCTTTTTGATACATAAACACCCACATCTAGAATATGTTTAATTATATTTGAGGGTACAATTTCTTCGTTTTGTGTTAAAAAATATAGAAATAAACAAACGTTAGTGTTGAAGAAAAGCATTACAATAAGTAAATATAACCACACATAACCCTCAAATGATTCTTGATTTTTACTTACCTTTTAGGCATTTAATCAAAAAATCGAGAGCTCTATCTTCTTCAAAATTTTTAGCGCTTTTATCCTATACTAAATTCTTGTTCTAAAAGGCCTTAATTACAAATCAAAATATATTGTTTTTCTTTTCCGATAAGAGCGGCTGTCAATAAACGAAGAATTACAGTAGGGCCAACTTAATTCTCCGTACAACTTCTAAATTCAAAAATCACTAATGGGGGATACCTTTCTTAACTTATGCTCTCCTAATACAAAATTTGAAATTTTAAGTTGCAACACAGATTTCGTAAAATGTCCGGCGCCTCCACCAAAATTAACACAAATAGGACAATGATACTCTCTTATTTTAGATATTGTATTTTTATTGTACCTTGCAAATCCACTGATAATTCGAAATTTTTAGTAATTTCTTAATTGAGGTATGAATACGAGGTCTGTTCAACAAAAAATTTGTCAAAAAAAGATCTTAATCAACTTATGCTCTCCTAATACAAAATTCGAANGTAACTTTCTTTTAATTTGTTTTTCATTTTTAGTAAATGTATAACTTCTTTAGAAGATTTTACATTGTATCATGACTTCAGTTTTTGACGAAAGACAGGAATTCTTGAAAAGTCCTTATCTTTTAAAACGCGAGTACGGTAACTTCTCCCCATTCTACATTACAGTTGCAATTTGCAGTGTAGTCCTTGCAATAATATTTGTCATTAATATCGTACTTGGTTGCTGTACCAGATATTCAGAGTATTGGAACGACAGATTTACAGGTAATTGAAGGATATATTTGTGGGTATTTATCATTATCTAATGTTACTTTAGGTAATCGTTGGATAATATCACTTTGGACAGCAACCCCTCATAACCAACCATCTCTTGACTATACGGAATTAGAATTGGTAGATATACCAAGTGTAGCTCCAACAGTATATCAACCAGCACCACAAGAACAACAAACTACTGTTCAACACTCAGAATATTTAGAACTTCAGCATAAAAGAGAGAGTGCAATTTAATTAATATTCAAAATGTTTCATGTATACTGGCCCGCAAATGCAGCTCTAACACTCTTTTTAATAGTGTTTGTAATCATTATTATTCTGAGATTTGGCCCCCGTTTGTGTAAACTACGTCATACAACCCTGCCAGATGAGCATCAGTGGCAGGAAAAAATTTATGAGCAAAAAGTGCCTTTTGAATCATATGCTTAACTACAGCACCAATGATTACAATTAGTTTGTTAGGTTTTATCAAAAAATATTTCTTTTTTATATCAATTAATACTAATATTTTGTTACTCAATCTTTAAAAGTATTTATAATGTATTTTAAATGCACAACAAATATTCTAATCACAAGTATTAATTTAAAGACTTAAAGCGAATCTCTACTATTAGTGGTAAATTTATTTAATATCAAATGTTGCTTTAAATGTTTTATTTTGTGTTTATTAATTTTTGTTTTCCAAGTTTGAAGATGTATAATTTTATCTACAATCCGTCCATTTTAGATATTTATGTATTTTACCTTTTTTGTAACTTTTGATAAGTGTTTTTACAACTATGGGTTAAATAAACAACTTTTTATATCATCTACTTCTTTACTTTATTTTATCATTTAGTGTTGATAGTAACTTAACAACTATAACAGAAAGAAAAGTAATGGATATAATGTGCAATATGGATCATAAAAAAGAAACCTTATTTAGACTAATTCTATACTTCATCTTCATTTAAAAGCATGTTTGGAATCCCATTACTAATAGGAAATTTTCTTCCTGTCTCTGGACAAACTAGCTCTCCATTAATTACTTCAACTTCCAGTAAAACTCTATGAACTTTCTTGAGAAAATCTGTATTGTTCTCGTAATCGTCAACTATGCTTTTAGGCATATCTTCAACCTGCCCAATACTTTCTGCTGCATTGTACAAAACATTCCAATCCAGTTTAGGGATTATTCGAGACACAAATTCAGGATTAAAATCTACCTCTGATACTTTCACATCAAATGCCTACAGCAAAAGAGAGTTTATATTGGAACAATATCATTAACAAACACATTTTTACATTTATTTTTAAAGGATATCCAACAGTGACCCCTTTCATGCATTTTGAGGTTAGCATGTTGTGAGTTAACAGTTTCATATTGCAAACTGCACTCCTTTTTATTTAAACGCCAGTTAATCTACAAATGCAAACTTAAGTGCGTTTTTCTTAAATAATTATTAACCATTCCACTTATTCGTTATTCAAAAATTAAAGGTTATATTCATAGATAATAGGTTACATTAGTTAAAAATACAACATTTATCATAGATAACCATAACCGTAGACTATAACTGCTCTACTAACAACATGGCCTTCGAAACTGAACCAAAGATAAGAACTGAACATTTTTTTTAGTATCTATCTATTGATCTATCTTTATAATAAAACTCCAGGAAATGGAAATATTCTATAATTTAATTAATATCATAATTAAATATTTACTCTTCTATTAATTCTATTATTCTATGAGTTACATCCCAGAAAGGTTTGTGATGTCTATGGTTTGTGTTCATAGATGAGACGTCAATGTCATAATTTAAGGTTAATATTTAATCCTTATTTAATTTATTAAAATGAATTGAATTGTGACCTAATTAAATGGACTCTGAAAATGTAAAAGAAAGGCTCAATTCTCTTTTACAAAAGAAACTTTCTGGTCAACAAGAGAAAGATGTAGGAAAAGATGGCAAAGTTAATGAAAACTCAGTTGAAGAGATGTCAGTGTCTCCTCAAATATCAGATAAAAGAAATATTCTTGAGAAATCAGATAGTTCCAGCAGTGAAAACGGTAGTAATGGTACTTCAGAAGAAGGAAATGAAGATTTTATTATGAATCAG